CCTCCTCCCTCCTCCCTCCTCCTCCTCAGGGCGATGTCTCAGGGCCTGGATGTCTCTGACCTGTTCAGTGAGATGGTGAAAGCCTGCGCCACCGTAGACGTGGTCCAGAAGAAGCTGGTGTATGTCTTCCTGTGTTGCTACGCCCACCTTAACCCGGAGCTTTCCCTGCTGGTCGTCAACACGCTGAGGAAAGACTGCCTGGACCCAAACCCCATGGTCCGCAGCCTGGCTCTGAGAAGCATGACCAACCTGAGGCAAGCAGAGGGCGACTCGCCGAGGGCCACGCCCCTAAGGCGGAGGGGACGGGAACCATTTCTGACGGCTGTGTCTGTGTCGGCAGGTTGCCCAGCCTGGTGGAGTACGTGGAGCAGCCGCTGACAGCGGGGCTGAGAGACAGGGCGGCGTGCGTCAGGCGGGTGGCTGTTCTTGGCTGGGCCAAACTGCACCAGCTCCAACCTGAAACAGGTAGACCTTTCATTTCTGCTGCAAAGCTGGACATGCTTAGAAACTAAACCACTCAACCAGAACCAGGAAAGTTTGAACAGGAATGACGACCAGAAGGTCTGCTGGACAGTCAGCGGGGTCCTTCTAGACCGGATGAGGCAGAGGGTCTGGGACTAAACCTCCCGGGTCAAAGCTTCTCATAAATCACTGGCAACACATTATCAGGAACCTAAACATCTTTTGCTTCATTACGTCTGGAAAAATATTAGAATATTTTATTAAAGTTTATTTCCAGAGAGTGAAAGTCGAATAGAATTTAAGCCAGACTCTCCAGAAGAGTAGGAGACACCGTCCTGGGGGGGGGGACTGATGTCCAGGAGTCAACTTCCTTTGCAAGGAGGAGATGATGAAGGAGTTTTTGATCCAAGCATTTGCACAGAAAATTGATTGTAAGGAAGCAGTAGAGTAGGAAGTAGAGCATTCCTGCATTCCTCGTGTCCATGGACTCCAGAACCAGAAACTGAGCCGTTAGTCAATGATCCAAAGTTCTGTTTTCAGATGAAAGTAAATTTGTTTGGAAACCAACATCCCAGAATTCCCGTCCCTTCCAGATGCTGCGGTGGTGAACGAGCTGTACGGCCTGCTGAGGGACCCGGACCCCGTGGTGATGGTCAACTGCCTCCGAGCTCTGGAGGAAATCCTGAAG